TGAGAGAAGCAATTAAACTCTACAAAGCATAATCACCATCAATAGTGAACACTTCTTTCGCCGTAGTTGCCAGACGATTTTCGGACGATATCCACCTCATTTATAATCGTAGGCGATTTCAATGCGTGGAGCCCTCTTTGGGGCTCTGTCACCACAAATATCAGGGGTTCTATGATTGAAGACTTAGTCTTCTCTGAAAGCCTTATTATACTGAATGATAACAAACCAACCCACTTTTCCACACACAAAACATTTACCACTGTAGACCTTACAATCTGTTCCTCTAACGTTGCACCTAAATTAACGACAAACACCCTTTTCCATCTGCATGGCAGTGATTTCCCTATCCTTACATTCCTTTCCACTCCTTTCACTTCTAAAAGCCCACAGAAGCCAAGGTTTATTATAGGAAAAGCTAACTGGGACATCTTTGGAACGACTGCTTCCAGACTTAGCGCGGACCGTCCTTGTACTCCCAATATCAGCAGGGAAGTTGCCRCAATTACAAAAATCATTCGCATATTAGCCCATCTGTCTATTACACAAACCAATCTCAAAGTTCATAAAAAGATCGCGCCCCACTGGTCCTCTGAACTATCTCAATTACGAAATGAAAAAAGATTACTTTGGGCGGAATATAAGCGAACAAGGTCAAATTCAAGTTTAATGCTATACAAAAAGGCAAATGCGATCTTTAGGAAAAAAGTCAAACAATCCAAAAGGGAGTGCTTAAACAAATTCTCCGAGTCCATTGACCATCAAACCAATCCAAAAAGAGCATGGTCCGATATTAAACGACTTTCTCTCACTAACCCTCAATCGCATATTACTTCAATTAATAGCGCACATGGCCCTATCGTTGACCACAAGCAAATAGCAAATCACTTCGCAAAATACTGGTCCAATTATTVACACGATTCAAATTTCCACCCTACTTTCCTTTCAGAGAAGAACAAATACCTCAACAGTAGTTCCAAGAGTCTCCCTGCAACTCCTAGCATAACCGACTGCAAGATCAATAACATTGAATTCGAATCAACTCTATCTTCTTTAAGTGGAAGAACCCCGGGGCTGACAGAATATCATATCCTATGTTGCAACACTTACTTCAATGTATGAAGACAAGCTATATATAATGCTATATAACAACATCTTAAGCCAAGGTACGTTTCCTCAGGCTTGGAAGCACGCTGTCGTTGTCCCCATTCCAAAATCTGGCAACCCAACTACTATTTYTTTACTGAATTGCCTGGGAAAACTACTCGAAAATATTATAGCCAGACGTATTTCGTGGCATGCCTTAACCAATAATTCCATGAGCCCTCAGCAAATGGCTTACAAGGACGGGCAAAGCACCATTGATGCTTTGCTGCTTTTTGAAAATCATGCATCTTCAGCCTTAGCAAACAGAAACCACCTCTGTGCACTTAGCATTGACTTCGAAAAGGCCTTCGATCGATTTGGAGTCCACGTTGTACTACGGCAACTCGAAAAATGGGGCATTGGGTGCCATATTCTAACACTCATTTAGTCATTCCTCACAAACCGAAGATTCTTCTGTAAAGTCAACAACACATTGTCAGACCCGTTTACTCTCCATAACGGAATACCCCAGGGGTCTCCCCTCTCTGTTTCCCTTTTTATCGCTGCTTTTAATGAAGTGAGCCATATAATAATAAATATATAAATATTGACGGCTTACCCACAATCGAAGAGAGATTCGAACTGAATCTAATGAAACTYATACCTAAGCTTTTTACATGTCACAACAGTACTCTTTACGAAACAGTAAGATCGGACCTCCAAAGGGAAATTAATCCTGGACGCAAATCGACAATTTCACTGTGTATAGAACTAGCCAGAAAGCTTGGAATCACCATGCCA